GGGAACGTCATTTAAGGAAGCCCACGCTCGTGCACTAAAGTGGAATTTCTACGGTCTCTGTGCTACGGCTGCCCAGCGTTTTGTGTGGGCAGAGCTGGGCTGTGTGTGTCGTGCTCCCCTTTTCCCTGGAGCCAGCCCGCCCTGAGCTGGGTGAGCACGCTGGGTCTTGGGGATGGTGTGGGTGGCGCTCACACGGCACAGCCTCCTTCAGGGAAACCCTCTCCTTCCCAGTGACACCATGGAGACCAGGTGCTAGGTGCTAGGCTTGCCTCCCTGACCATCCGTGTAGAGTGAAGGCCGGTGTGTGTTCTGGAACCTTCTGTGGCAGCCCCAAACCCTGCACCAGGCCAGGCTCGGAGCTCAGCATCCCTACTGTGGGGGTGTGCTCTCCTCTTGGCCTTTCTGGGACTCCGTGGAGGTCTCACTGGCAAAGCAGTGAAGGCCGGAGGCCCGGTGGAAGGCTGGCCAGGGTGGGCACCACCGACTGCGAGGCCCCCTGGGGTGGGTGTCTTCACCGGCTCTGTCCCAGCTCCCTTGTCCCTTTGCTTTGCAGGTGCCCCACGCCCGGCTGCGATGGCTCTGGCCACATCACGGGGAACTACGCTTCGCACCGCAGGTGAGCCTGCGCGCCCAGGGGTGCCGCGGGGCGGGGCCTCTTTCTCAGGTGAAGGTGTAAAGGTCCAAGTAAGACGTCAGTGTTGCTGGCAGCCAGGCTGAGCTGCCTCTGCACCAGAGCTGGGCTCTTGGGGGCGCACCCTGTCGGGGGTCTTCCAGGGCTGCAGACCCCGGGGTGAGGTGCTGCTGCTCTGGGACCACAGTTGTATTTTTCCTCTTTTGAAACCAGCTTGTCCGGCTGCCCTCGTGCCAAGAAGAGCGGCACCAAGGTGACGCCGACCAAGGACGACAAGGAGGACCCCGAGCTGATGAAGTAAGTCAGGGCCTTGCCCGGCGGAATTGGGGCTTTCCTGTAGCTTCTCGATCCCTTTCCATTCACATGGCCCCTCAGTGACAGCACCTGCTCGTACAGATGTTCTCGCCCCAGGCATGTGGACGCCTATGAAGGCGTGAGCCCTGTGCATTGTATCAGGGCACGCAGGCCCCAGCCATGGGCCGAGGGGCACAGGGCCCTGCTACCCAGGCACCGGAGGCCAACTGGGCACAGGACTGAGGTGTGGAGCAGCCCCTGGGGCACTCGTGGGCACTGGTCTCGGTCCGTCTGTGGGAAAGGGCAGGTGCAGGGGTTGAGGAGGAGGCTGTGGTAAGAAAGATGGGAGATCTTGCAGTCGGTCGTGAGTGTGGGACTCACAGACCTGCGTGCTCATACACCTTTGCGGGAGCCGGGTGAGATCCTTGGAGGTTCACCCTGGACTGGGGCCTCCACATGGCTGTGGGAGGCGGGGCGGCAGTGAGCGCACTGTGCTGTCCTTGCAGACAATTCGAACCAGTACCAGGACGTGCAGGCTCCCTGGGAACCGGGCTCCTCTTCCCAATGTGCTGTGAACTTTGTTTCAAAAAAACAAAACAAACAAGATTTCTGCAGCCAACTGAGAAGGTGACTTTCAGAAACAGCTCAGCCTCTGCAGGAGGGGCGAGCTCCTCGGGCTCCCAGGCAAGGGGCTTGCAGGCTGCCCTGCCGCGGGACGGGGTTTTGTGACATGCTCCCTGAGCCTCTGGACAGGCTGGCGAGGAGAGGGCTCCCGTTCTGGCCCCTGTGTCTGCTCTGCTTGAGATTAAGTCCTGTCAGCACTTTGTGGCGAATCCCTGTGGCCACAGCTGAGTTACTGGCCATCCAAGTCTGTGGGGGCTCCTGGGGTCGGGAGCTGGATGCCCTCTGTCCTCACTACAGTGGCATCTGGGACCCGGTGGCTCATCACTCCCGCTCCCAGCACAGGCTGCCCGGGGAGCGCAGAAGCCACGAGAGTCGCACTCCACACACATGTTAACAATGTCACCTGACAGCTCTGAAGATCTGGGCACTGGATGGATGAGAAGAAAGTGCTCACTAGCCACTCAGTTCTAGGGACACAGCACAGTCCCTGCAGGCAGGCTGCGCAGAGAGCGAAGGAGACTCCAGGCCCACCGCTCGCTCGGCCTTTTGATCTTGTCATGTTGGGGCTTCATGGGCACCTGGCCCAGGCCTCCTGCCAGATGCCCTCAGCTGGGAGGTGTCCAGGTTTGGGGGATGGGTATAAAACGGAACCTCCCCAACCCCCTGTGAGCCCCTGGCAGTGTGTCTGCTCTGAACTATGGGCTGAGGTGACCTTGGATGGGGTCAGTGGACACCCCACAGGCCCAAGGTCCATGTGGGTGGGATGACTAAGGAAATGGGAGCTGGCAGAAGGGGACAAATAAGGCCGGAAAGTGTCTGTGGTGGCTGCTCCGACCGAGGCCGGGGTGTTGGGGCTAGGAGCCCAGATGGCCTTGTCACTGGGCAGTGCACACACCCCTACCCCCCTCTGGTGCTGCAGGAGCCCTGGGACGGCCCAGCCCTGCCACGGGCTTCCTGCCCTGGCTTCTCTGAGCCCAGGAACCTCTCTGTAACATGGGCGGTGTGTCGCCTCCTGGGCCCTGTGCGCAGCGGGTGAGCAGCGCAAGGCAGTGGTGACCAGCGCCATGTTGAAGGGGCCCTGCCTGCTGGAGGGAGAGGACGAGGAACTTGCAGATAGAGGAGCTTGTCCTCTGTCCCCTGTTGGCCCCAAAGCCCGGACCCGTCGGTGCTCAGAAGGAGCAGCTGTGAGCTGCCGGGCCAGGTCCCTCCCCATGAGGCACCCAGAGCTCTTGGCCTCCACCTGCTGTGTGTGACCGCGTGGTCCTGACAGCAGGGTCAGGGCAGTCACTCTCAGCCCCTCGTCATCTCACCTGTCCCTGGGGCGTTGTGATTTCTGTAGGGACCCCTTCCTCTCCTTGAACAACCTGAATAAAGGGGAGGCCAGCCTCAGGCTGGGTCACTCTGGGGTGTCTGAGCCCGTTTCCCATGTGAGCTGTGGCCTCCATCCATCCTTCCAGACACACATTTCGGATGTGGAGAAGCTGGGACACCCACAGGCATCATGCCATGACCAGCCTCATATGGGTGCGGGGGTGGGGCTCAGGGTACCCTCCTGACCTCCGTGACTCCTAGGCCACCCGGGCCTGTGCTTGGTGCAGGCTCCCAGCCAGTGGTCTCTGGGTGGTCCCGGCGGGCACTTCACCACTGGCATGGTACAAGGCGGCATGGGCAGCAGGTCTACTAGTAGGGTGGACCCAGAGACCCCCGCGAGCCACCTCGGGGCCAGAGCGTCATGTTAAAGTCTGCTGGGGACCCTCTGGCCACGCAGGGGGCAGAGACCAAGGCTGGAGAGGGGACGTGATTCCTGCGGCTGTCACCGCCCTGGGGCTGCGGCCATGGCAGGGCCTGTGTGGAGGGCCTCTGGGCTCTGCCCGGCACCCCTACTCCCCTCTGAATGTCTGTGCCAGGTGTCCAGTTCCAGGCTGTGTGGGGCTTGGCCATGTCAGCGGC